TTACTTGACTACTACTGTAAAATTTTATTCTAGTTTTAGTTCTATGTGACTAACACATTAAAAATTTATCTCACATATTATCTCAGTTCTAGGTGAACACCCCCCATAAATTATTAGAACCCCAAATAAGACGAATTAAGTTGACTTTCATTTTCTTTACTAAATTCTCAAATAAGATTTTATGCTTTTATTCTCATTCCATACCTTTTTATTTTTATTATTTAACTTTCATTTCTTTCCTTTCCCTAGTAAACTCCAAAACAAAACATCAGAGAGTCTCTATTTTCTTCAGGCCTGGCAATAAAACCAACCTCTTCACAAAAAAAAAAAAAAACCCCGCAAGAACAAAATGTTACTATAACCCGAGCACCTACGGCTACCGTCCACTCATTCCCACTAATACCCCTCCGATTAAAAAAATCATAAAAAACAAATAACAATTTCCAGAAAAAACTACGTTGCCCCGACGAGCGACATGAGACCTTGCACCCCAGTCGCCCGCGCCACGTCATCCACTCAACCAACCGTCCATTCCCCAGATATTTCTCCCTCCTCCGCACAAACCGGGTCCCCACCGGTTTAACCGGCGGTGGCCGGTCACCGCGTCCGAAACCGGAACTGGCATCCTTTCTCTTTTTTAGCCCCTTTATAAACCCTTTATTATTTTGGGCAACTCCATCTGATACCGTCCTTTCCTCTTTCTTCTTGCCCCCCCCCCCCCCCCACCCTGCTCTCCCCCCTCTTGAGCATCACCGACTGGTGTTTTTATGTTGCCCCCACCCCCCGTTCCTAGGGTGGCCAAACGGGGTCGGGTCGGGTCGGGTCATAGTTAACCCGACCCGTATAAGTGTGACCCGACCCGACCCATTTAATAAATGGGTCAACATGACCCGACCCGTTTATTAAACGGGTTACCCGACCCGACCCATATAACCCGAATAACCCGTTTAAGAACTTATGGTGTTTTTTCACCTCCAAAATACAAGTTGTAACATAACATCAACGCCTCTGAGTTTGGTTGTTTTGTTGAGCCCATAAGTGTTGCTATCTATTCTGTTTAGGACTAATTCCATTGATATCTGATGGCATGGCCAATATCTTACCATCTTAAATATATATCATGAATATAATAAAATGTTATGATTTAAAATCGATCATGCATGTAAGAAAAATTGATAAACACATAAACTTAACCACGCAATAGTTGACAGGAAAAGGATGAAAAAGCAACGCTTTGTACACTTAATCGTTTTTCAACACAAAAAAATGCTTCATCATTTACATTATGTATCACCAGCACGCATATACACTTAATCGTTTTTCAACACAAAAAAATGCTTCATCATTTACATTATGTATCACCAGCACGCATATGTAAACTTAACCAATGCTCTTCTCCCTACTAAAATGCAATTTCCTCCACAGCCTTCAATTTGGCACACCATACAAGAACCCATCACAATATTCACTATAATTCAAAACTCTCTACAAGCTAAAAAAGAAAGAACACAGACTATATGATGAATCTAAACTTTTCTCATTATTGCAGAGAAACCTTGTTTCATAAAGGAGCTGCACAAGTAGTTCTAACTGATTACACCGGCTCTTCCCCGCGACTGATTACACCGGCTACAATGCACGACCCTCCTCGCTCTTCCCTGCGACATCTGCAGGGATGTAATACATCAAAATGAAGCAGACAAAGAAAATAAATGCATTACTATTACAAATCAAGTGTTAGTTTATCTGCAATTTTTTTGAGCTGACATGCAAATTGGATGAAACAAGTGCTGTACTTTTCTTCATACACAATAAAAATCCAATTACTATTCCTAAGTAGCTATTTCTTAACCAAAACTGAAAATATTTTCATTTCGATCCTAACATTTGCTGCAGCAGCTCTATTTAACTCTTATGTACATGATATACATAAACTAGTGTTCGCTAAAAGAGCATATTACTCAAACCAATCAAAATTTAGACAAAAATTAACTTTTTGAAAAAGAATAGACAACAACATGATAGATTAAGAATACATTGTTTTTCTACCTCCATCTTCAAAAGATTGTAAGGAGTGAGTTTTAGAGAGAATATGAGAGTTGATTATGTATGTTAGGTTGAGAGACTAAGAGACGAGAGTTGAGTGGTTCCTATTATAGTTCTATCTAATACATAGTGAATTTCTCTTATTATTGCCCCATGGATCTAGGTTGAAGTTGGTTGACCGAACCACGTAAATCTTGGTGTTCTTTCTTCTTGATTGTGGTTGTTTTATATATTGTTGATTGTGGGTTAGCTTCCAAATTGCATAAATCGTAGTAGGCGGGGAGACAAATTCCCTAACACTGTGCATATGAATAGACAAATGCGAACATAATCACACAACAATATTGTTCAGGAACCAAAGGTTCATTTTGACCCGAGGATCCGAGCTAAGAAAAAGAGAAGACAAAAGCTGCTAATTTTCTTAACCGTTTCATTCTTTAAGTATCTTTTCATGTCAGAGACTTCTATTCAGAATGAATTCAAACATTATACACCATAATAAGATAACTTCACATTCTCACCGTTTTGGTATATCTTCAGGTATCTGGTTCCCTGGCTGTGAGAAGAAATGTTTGGCATTTTGAGCCACCTCTGCTTCCAGTATTGCTTCCAGCACGATATCTGATCCTTTAGGCTTACCTGGGCATTACATCAAAATCCAAGATTGCTTTAAGATGAGCATATGCAAGTAGTAAAAGTAGGGAGTGAAATAGAAAACAATAAATATATAAGACTAATATTAATTTCTGACACTTTTCTAGGACACTCTGTCGATGTCGTAATTTATGATTATTAAATACTTACGTCATACTAATTGTGTATTATTAACTATTAAGATATATATTTATCATCCATATATGTTAAGACCAAATTAATAGAAACAAATTGAAACAGAGATTCACACATAGCAAAGTAAATATGCTTCAGTATAATAGAGGAGATAGATTTGGTTGTTATATAGAAAGATGTATTTAGACCAATTCCCTGATCGATCGGACCTAGGTAAACATAATATCAAGTTTTGAAATATCAGCAAATACCAATAAATCAGCTGTACTTATCAGGAAATTAAGCACGTTGAACAGAACTGCCCAAAACAATTGATACTGTCAATATTAGCTAAAAAAGGACTAACAAATATTGCATTGGCTAATAACACCTAACATGAGTACGATTACATTTTACCATAGTTAATTTTATAATATCATATTAGGAAAACTGAAAAGAAATCAATCACAAGAAAACTTAAAATTAAACAAACTTATTTCATATGCTGATACTTCAACGCAAAAGTGATGAAACTGTCAAACTACTGCCACCAATACAAATAAGTGAGATTTTTAAAGGAGGGTTGATACGAAAAACTCCCTTCTCCATTGGCAAGTTTAACAGTAGCAGCACAACAGGCTTATTTGATGCAGGACCAACTGATTGATGAACATCTACAAATCTCTTAAGAAATGTGGTAGGCTTAGATCAAAGTTACTGATAGATTTGGCAATGAAAACCTTCTAAACTCGAATACATGTAACTAGAAAGTGATGATGCATCCTTTTGTAGACTACATGAGATCAAAGTTACTGATAGAACATAAATCAAAATTTTCTTCTTGGCGTACATCACACAATCTCAAGAGAGGTTTTTTTAGGCTGTTCTAAAACAAGAATGCCATACTATCATTAAGAAAGAGAGGTAAAAAAAATTTTAAAACAACAATATTCCATTGCTAACCTAGCAAGGGAATTCAAGCACTAATTACCATTATTATTTATGCTAATATTAAATGGGATAAGATAGAACAAGCCCACTGAGTAGAGAAATCAAAGGAAAGAAGTTCGGCAAATGTAAAATGCTCATGGTATGATAATTGCTAGGGAACAGATAAGTCAGAAATCTCAATCGTTCATGCACATTCTTAAGTTAATTCCAATCTCTAGAGTGCAAGAAGCAAGTGAAAATCTCCAAAAATCAAACCATAAACCAATAGTCAAAATTGAACAAGAATGCAACAGAAGCTCTGATACTCCATGCTCGTGAACTGTTTTAGGTACATAGTTTAACCTAGAATTCCTCAAAATTCCTCAAAAATCAACAAAATTACAACCACAAAATCAAGCTAAGATCTTAGTCTCCTAATTTTAACCTAGAATTTAGAAATCGGGGCTGAAAATTACCTATCTAGGGTTTCTGATCTGATCCTTGAGCACTTGAGAGAAAGTCGAAGGTGGCGCTTGCGCTCGAGGGGAGAGGAGATCACAGGCCCTGGGGAGAGAGGAGATCCAGGATGAAGCTCGAGATTCAGGCAAGAGGAGATCAAAGGTGGGGCTCGAGCTTGAGGAGAGAGATCGGAGATGAGCTCGAGATCGGAGATGAGCTCGAGGATAGAGATCGGAGGTGATGAGTTTTTTCCGGAGACGAAGGGACCAAGGGCTTCTTCGTTTATGAGAGACGAAGCGGGTCGGTGTTATACGGGTTGTTATATGGGTTATACGGGTTGATAAATGGGTCAGACGGGTCAACTTAATTTACCCATTTAATAAACGGGTCAGTTCGGGTTGACCCGTTTATGACCCGACCCATATAACTTGACCCATACCCAATATAAACGGGTCGGGTCGGGTCGGGTTGATGGGTCGGGTCATAAATTGCCACCCCTACCCGTTCCTCTTCACTCAGTAAATGTTTAGAAATTTAGCAGCAAATGTTCCGTAAGAACGATTCAGCTCTATCCTGTTACTATCTCTTCTTGCTTTGGCTCTTCTTTTTGAAATAATCCGAGAGTTCTGATATCAAGAGCGCAATTTGGCGCGCTTCAAATTTTAATTATATTTGGGAGAAAATAATGCAATAATCGAGCTCAAGCTAGAGACCGAGAGCAATATTTACTGCTTTTTAAAAAAAAAATTTTTTTTTTGGAAGCGAGCAATGCTGGATCTGAAC